AAGTGTGAGTGAGTGAGAACTTTATTAAAGTGTCAAAAACCTTATAGCCTGGAAATAAAAACACCATACTTATTAGGGGACACTGCTAAAAAACTATACTAATACTAATATTAATACAATAAAAAAATAAATGACTTGTAGGGCATTATGTGCAGCATAGGATGCAGCCCTTACAGCCGGTGTCCATTAAGCGAGTTATATGACCCTTTTGCGAACATAGTTTGTAAAAGCCTGCAGTGTCTTGGCTGATCTGTCAGCCATAGACAGTTTGCTCTATAATTTGGGTCCTACATAACGCAAAGAGTGCTTCCCATAAGTAACAGTGTTGTATCTAGGAGTAAAAAAATCTGATTGTCTCAGGTTGTATGCAGAAATATGCTCGTTAAAAATGTTACAGATGCTATCGTCTGCGATCGTCTGCGATCATATGGAAACCAGCCTTTAGACTTGTTTATCGCAGTTTCCTTGACCATCCCTCCTTGTATACGTAGAAAGGCGCTTTCTAAACCTCCGATAGTGCGGCGATTAAAATCAAAAACATACGAAGGGCCGTCACGCAATATGCAGGTCTCAAGCTGTGACCGACCTCTGTGTATATGTTGCCTGTCGGAAATAAATTCTGTCTTAGACTTGTCTTTGCCGGCGAATATAGTGGTATAGAGAACTGTTCACCGGCAAAATCTACGTATACCAGGAGGGATGGTCAAGGAAACTGCGATAAACAAGTTTATTTCCGACAGGTTTTGTATGTCGTTATAACTACGGACTCGGATCAGACAGTCTGTTATGAATTGCGACTATTTTCATAGACGTATTGTGTTTATATCACGCCAAAGAACGCTTTAATTTATTGAGACAAAGCTTCGTAAGAAGATAAATGGGTTTTGAGCAGAATTGTGGATAATTTCACTTGCATCAGTTTTACGCTTTCAGTGTTTTGGTTATCGAAAACACTAGGGATTTGTGACAGCGTTCGGGGTAGTTCGGGGGGAGGGACGGGGAATTTTGTTGAATGACGATATTTTGAATGTCCGGGAACTTTGAAAACCTTTGTCATGAGAGAAGGTATGTTCATAAATCACTACGCATGATAGAAGTTGAATTATTATCATTGTTGAATAAAAATAATTGTGGTTGAAGTTGAACAAATATTGTTTTTGAATGAAAATGATTTTGGTAGAAGCAGAATAATTATTTTTGTTGAATGAAAATCATTTGGGTTGAAGTTGAACAAATGTTGTTGTTGAATGAAATTATTTTTGGTTGAAGTTGAACAAATATTTTTGATGAATGAAAAGATTTTTGGTGGAAGTTGAAAGAAAATGCGTATTGTTGAATATAAATATAAAATGTTGAATATAAATATATGTTGTTGAACATAAATATAAGTTGTTGAATATGAAGGTG